AGTAAATGGACTATGTACCCTAACTAGACAGTGGGGAGTATTCTATTGAGGATGGACTCGTACTGCTATAAGGTAGCTGATGTGAGAGACGAGGTATCCGTGTATTAAACCTATCGCATAATATACGCTATCATGAAAAATATAACTTTACACATACAATATATAATAGTACACTTGCATTAAATTGTGATTATTAATAGATATGAATTATATAAGATAAGATTTCCATCTTCTTCTTCCTCGCCTTAATCCCAACTACTTGGGGTCGGCTACCCTTATCCTAAACTTCCACTTGACACGATCTCCCACATCCTATACGCTCACATCAGCTGTTCTCATATCGTATTCAATAACATCTTTCCATCTCTTTTTTGGTCTTCCTCTATCTCTTCTTCCTTCAACATTCATGTCTACAACTTTTCTTAAAAACAAATAAGATAAGATTTCCGTAATTTTAAATAATAACTTGGTCAAAATAGGTTAGCTTAGGTAAAAAAAAAAAATTGAATTTCTGTGATTCTTAAATACTAAAATTATATGCAAATTAAACAGAAATTATAAATGTAATACTATTGAAATTATAAAATTGTGTTGCAATTATTTTTTCTTCAGGTCTTGCAAATCCTGACAGTTTTGATATTTTAAAAAATATAACTTACTTAGTTTAATTTCTGTGCTATTGTTATAGTTCTTGCAAAATATTTAATTTTTATTTCTGTTCTTTTGATATTAGTTTAAGTTAAGTTCTCCAGCTAAAATGTAAATACTGTAGTCAAGACTACTTTTAAAGGCGTATCAGTATTACTACTTTCAGTCTTATATTATTAGTTCTGACAGTGGTTTGAAGTGTTGATGGGGTCGTTGTTTTGTATAAAACCAATACATAGTTAAAATTTGATTAATTAAGCCATTTCATGTTTTTTATAATTGTATTTTGATCTCTTTCCTAGAATATAAGTGAGAGTATTTTAATAACGTTAACAGTTTGAATTTTTTTTATTTTGAGGTATTTGATATATGCTTTCCATGTAAGTTTTTTGTCTAATATGACCCCTAGTATTTCAATCAATTTTTTGGGTTTGGTTTTGTCCGGCCAAAATTAAAACCTGATTGTGACGTCCAAACTTTTAACTTGTCTATAGTATTTTGGTGATGTTCTTAAATTGTACGTTTATTTCTGCTTCAATGCTAATAATTAAAGTCGCCTGCGAACAAATTGAATTTATTTGGCGAAATACAGTTTTTGGTTATACTGTTTATTGCTACTAAGAAAAAAGGAACTAAAAGTGCATACCCCTGTTGAACACCGTTTTTTGTATGAATTCCTCTGACAATTTTTTGTTAGCTTTTATTCAAAAAGTTCGATCTATTTTTGATTATTCCCTCCAAGACGAAGAGTTATATCTAAATCATATTTTTTTCTTTTTGTCAGTTTAATTATTTAGGGGTAAAAAGGTGATATGTAAACAATTTTTGTGACATTTTTTCTGATAAAAACCTTTTATGATTATCAGTTGTACCAGATCCAATTTGTTTTTGCTCCAGAGTTTGTGGATACTAGTTTTCGTTACTTTGGTATAATTGTTAGTATATATGTTGTGTGCATCGTTTGTTCAATATGATATTCTGGTAATGATATTTCTGAAGATTCTATGTTTTCAAGTAGTTTTGGATTATGATTGATATTATTACTGTAGTTATATTTTGCAATCAATTAATGTTTTGGTTTGTACTGAAATATTCATATTAGTTATAATAATATTTTCATTGTTTTGGTCTAGTAAAAGAGAGGTTGGTGATGGTACTTTTGATAAATATTTGGCAATTTTTGATGATGTTGGGATATTTTGTTTGTTATTTTTTAAGTAAGTATCATTTTTGTTTAGGGATAATAATGGATGTGGAGATGAAAAATAGAGTAGTAGAAGTAGCTAGGAAAAGTGACAGAATTATGGTCGTAAAATTAATATTTGAAGAATAAGTGCTGAATGTAATAAGTGCCTATGCACCACAAGTGGGATGTGATGAAATAGACAAGGAAGTGTTTTGGTCAGTGTCAATGAGGTGATGCAAGGGGTACCTGGCAATGAGGATGCAGTGATAGGCGGAGATATGAATGGACATGAAGGTAATGTGAGGAGAGGATATAAAAGAGTACATGGAGGGTAAGGTCTTAGTGGGAAGAATGAGGCTGGAAAAAGAATACTGGATTTCGCAGTATCGTATGATCTTGCTGTGGTTAATACTTATTTTAGAAAGAGGGAAGAATATTATATAAAATGTAAGAGTGGCAGGAATAGATCACAGATCGATTATTTTATGTGGAAGAGAGATAGCGTAAAGCGAGTAAAAGATTGTCAAGTTATACTAGGCGAGAGTGTAACGACACAACATAGACAGATGGCAATGGAGTTGTGGTGTACCGGAAAAAGAATAAACAAAAATAGAAAAAACACAGGGGAAAAATCGAAGATCCGATGGTGGAAATTGAAAGGGGAAAACGAAGAAAAGTTTGTAAAGACGGTAAAAGAGAGGACGATGTGGAATGTCGAGAGAGACATAAATGATCTGTGGAATAGATTTGATAGTTGTGTAAAGAATACTGCAAACGAGATTGTTGGTGAACATAGGAATAGAATGCCAGGAAACAAGGAAACCTGGTGTAGTAAGTAAGGCGACGTTTAAGAGGTATGATGAGTTGTATGATAGGTTAGGAACAAAGGAAGGTGAGAAAAAAATCTATAGACTTGCAAAGATAAGAGAGAAAAGGTCTAAAGATTATCATTTTATAAGGTCTATTAAAAGTGTTGATTATAAGGTACTCTCAAATGATGATGATGTGAAAAAAAGGTGGAAAGAGTATTTTGAAAAATTACTGAATGAGGAGTATCCAAAAGAGACATTCAAGTATATATCGTTGAATGAGGGACTGGTAGATTTAATTAGTAAGATAAAGGTATGGGAGGCTGTGGCATCAATGAAAAAGAATAAAGCAGTAGAACGAGATGTAGTGCCAGTAGAAGTATGAAAAACATTAGGTGGTGTTGGCATAAGGTGGTTGAAGGAACTTTTAAATAAAATCTTATTAGAAGGGAAAATACCAAATTAATGGAGGAATAGTATTGTGGTGTTTATATTTAAAGGTAAAGGAGACATACAGGAATATGGAAATTATAGAGGCATAAAGCTTATGAGTCATATTATGAAAATTTGGGAAAAGGTAGTAGATAAGAGAACAAGAAATGAGACATCGTTATCTAAAAACCAGTTTGGATTTATGCCTGGTAAGTTAACAATGGAGCCAGTAATTTGTGTAAGGCAAGTTATAGAAGAGTTTAGGGAAAAGAAGAAAAAGCTGTGTATGGTATTTATAGATTTGGAGAAAGCGTATGACAGAGTACTGAGAGAGATTTTAAAGTCGGCATTAATGAGAAAAGGAGTCCCGAAAAGATACATTAATATAACAGAAGATATGTATGATGGCTCTTGTACCAAGGTAAAAAGCGTAGGAGGAGTATCAGAAGGTTTTCGGGTAAGAGTAGCAGTGCACCAAGGTTCTGCTTTAAGCCCTTACTTATTCTCTATAGTGATGGATGAAATTTCTAGAGAAATACAAGGAGATGTGCCGTGGTGCATGTTGTTTGCTGACGATATAGTGTTAATAGGAGAAAGTAGGGAGGAAATTAACCAAAGGCTAGAAGTATGGAGATTAGCTCTTGAAGAAAAGAGTTTAAGAATAAGTTGAAGTAAGACAGAGTATATAGAATACGAGTTTGACAAAGGAGAACACGAGGTAGGTGAAATGAGGAGGTCTGTGACAATAGGCGAGGATTGGAGAGGTAGAGAGTTTTAAGTATTTAGGGTCAGTTGTGCAAGAGTGGTGGTATCGTCGAGAATGTAAGACACATAATTAAGTGCGGGTGGTTAAATTGGAGAGAAGCGTCTGGCGTCTTATGCGATAAAAGAATTCCAATGAGGCTGAAAGGTAAATTTTACAAGACTGTAATAAGGCCAGCTATGATGTATGATTCAGAGTGTTGAAAAGAAAGTAGAATAGAAAATTAGTGTAGCAGATATGAGAATGCTTAGATGGATGAGTGGAGTGACTAGAAAAGATAGAATAAGGAACGAGCATATAAGAGTGAGTATAGGTGTAGCGTCAATCGTGGATAAAATTAGAGAAAATAGACTTATATGGTTTGATCTTGTTATGATGAGGGAGGAATCGGAAGCTGTAAAAGCAGTTATAGAAATGAAAGTTGAAGGAAGAAGAGGTAGAACGATATGAGGACAGCTGATTTCAGCGTAGATGATGTGAGAGATCATGTAAAGTGGAAATTTAAGATAAGGGTAGCCGACCCCAAGTAGTTGGGGTTCAGGCGAGGAAGAAGAAGATGGAAATCTTATCTTATGTAATTCATATCCAAGAAGAAGATAATTTTTGTTAGAACTGATAGTGATATAGTTATTCTGATAGTTGCGAATGAAGTTGGGTTATAATTTTTGTTATGATACAAGATATTTGAGTTTATTGTTTTATTAAAAAAATTTTCCTTCATATTATTGGTCAAGTATCCTAGTTTCTTATTGTTGTTAATTCTTTTTAACATTAGGTATGTATGATATGATCATAATACCTGTCTAAAGGTTTGATCTGCTATTAAAAACTTACAGAATACGCATTCGTGTATAGATAACACACTTGTGTCTCCGTTAGGTATGAAACACGTATTGTATACATTTTGTAGGGATATTTAACATCATTTATTCAATATTGTTTAACTCTTGAGATCAGTTTACTATTATGTCGTAAACATTTATGTTTATTTAATTATTTAACCATTATATGTTCAGCCATCGTTTATTCACCTTTCAAAACCCCCTTTTTATTTATATTATTTTATTGTATTCCATTTCCCTTTTATAATTTTATTCATAATTTATTGTCTTTTATGTTTTAGTTGCATAACTGTATGTGTCAATTAAAACATTTTGTGGAATTTAATATTTTTCTTTATTAAATAATTAGATATATAAAAGTAATATACATCTAATATAGTCCAGTAACATTAGTAACAACACCAATATAATTTTTATCCAGGTATAGATGAATGCATTTTTCATTTTTCATATCTACTTTTTCATATCTGGGCCACCCTTTTCGGAAGTATACCCATGTATCATATTCTTTTTTGAAAAAATAAATACATACATCTAAGTAATATGCTGCAGCAAAAATATCTAACTCCCAACATGGACTCCTAGCATCTGTAAATAACACATGTATTAATATCTTACTGTTTGGAAGTCACTGATCAATCAGACAATTAATTGATGCAGTACAATCAGTAATTAAAAACCAAAATTTTAGTTCATCTACTAACTATTAACATAACACCAAATTCAACGATCGTCAACAAAGTTTTATTTAATTATATTTTTATAGTCTTACCATTATCATATAGTTAAATAGTAAAGTGTCACGAAGACGACTTCAAGGTATATTTGTGGCGGGTTGTTGTCAGTAGTGCGGCTTTTGCTGAACTTTGTACCGTGGCGTTGATCATTCAAAATAACATATACACGTAATAGGGAGACGGCTGGCAAAGGTGGAACGGGTCTACGGCCTATGTGTATCACTAAGCGATGCACACCGTGTCAATTTATATTATGGAAAATTGGTATTAGAAGATATCAAATATACCAATTTTCATTTTACCAAAAAAATAGGTTTTTGTAAACGTTTCAGTTCTCAAAACTGACATACAAGTCTAAATGAATAAGTTACGAATTCATCATCATAATAATAAATTATACAAATGATCAATTATACAAGTTGTTCAAAATGTAAGGAAACTGACCAATTGTTACAAGCAATGAGAAAAATATGAAACCCTTAACTTACTTATTGAACAATATATATCATTCTTTGTTATAACAGTTATAGAAATTAATTGGTAAAATGTTTTTTTAGAAAAGTTGTTATTATTTATTCAAATATAAACTACAAACAAATGATTTGACACGTCAAATGTTCATTATTTGTCTTAATATTGTTTTGAATTTTGACAAAAAAAAAAAAGAGATGAATCAACTCAATCCAAAGATATCTGAATTCAAACTCATTTCGGTTCAATAATACCCACATTAGCATAAAATATCAGAATGGTGGGATCTGTGGGTTTTAATTCAACAAAAATAATATAAAACTGAATTACATTTAATATTGCAATTTGAATACCTGCTATTATTTTATTTTTAAACCAACTGTCATTGTTAATGAATTTCTTTATTTCTTTATTTTTGATAAGATTCTAATTTCATAAAAAGTATAAAGTTTTCATAGGTACAAATAATATAAAAATATAGAAAATATATCATTGCTTACTTTAGAAGTATTTTTATACATATCTAAACTAAATTTTCTGTCTCTGCATATTAATTCTGACAAAACATCGAAAAGTCCATTTTCATTAAAATAAATATCAACTGGAATCATGTTTGGTGTTAATTTCTGATTCATAATTGGTTCCTTGTAAGTAAATCCTAAACTTAGACATTTTTTTCTACACCATTCTTTATCTACTGGTTTATAATGAAATGGTAGATCTAAATATTTTAAATCGATTCCTATAAGATCATTATTCGATAAATAGAGTTTCCATGGAATTGCAATCTGAAAGTCGAAAAAAAGTTATTTTTCACTAAGCATTAAGTATTAAACTTGTCCTTCTTCAATGATTCAATTAAAATCTCTAATTTTTTTATCAAATATATATAGGAATGATTTTTCTATATTAAATTCAATAAACTTTTACAAAATTTACCTCATTAGAAATAATGAACTTGACGCTGAAAAAAAAAAAAAAATTATCACGTTTATCTCCAAACACATTTTTATCTTATTTTAAGTTCTAAGCTACCATACAAATCTATTAATTTTAGTGTCAAAATTTGTGAGTGTGCTTGCATGTTTATATTATTTATATATATTTTAATGTAATGCTGTTATGAATTACGTAGATAAAAAATTCTTAATACATTGTTGTCATGTAATAAATCAAAATTAGAAATATAACTTGCAATTGATACTTCAAGTAAATTATATTATTATTAATCATGACTCATTAAATTTTTAAATTGAAAAAATATAGAAAAGAAATAAAAGTTATAAAATATTATAAATAACGTATAAATAATTTAAATATTGTAATGTATTTCTTTAATTTCATAAGCAAGATGTTAATAGAGTTTAATATGTAATCTAATGCCTTGTATATTAATGGTGCAATATATTTTAACCTTCGGATATTTTTTAGGATACAATTAAAATATTATATAGAACGTTGTAAATTTTCTTAATTTAATTAAATTCCAATATAAAGAATAGTTAAATAGTTCAGAAAGCATAAGCTTTTTGAAAATTAAAAAAAATGTGTTATCAAGAACTTTTTTGATTTAATAAATGTACTTGATCTCCGAATCATACATTTAGGATAAATTGCATATGGATTTTACGAATGATAGAACCATTACTTTGTTTTTTGATCTCATCATTATATATCAACGGCGACATTATTATCTTATTTTTAAATAATAAAAAATTTTTATTTATCACTTGAAATTGGAACTATTCATTAGATTGTTTAATCAATCAGACAAAACAATCAGACTATTGCACCTTTATCTACCTAATAATTTTACTATTACATTCGTCTCACAGCATTAATATAGTCATTTAATTTATTTGAACTCAACAAACACGTTTATAATAAATAAAAATTTTTGTTAGTCATTTGAATACAACGCAAATACGTTTATCATAAATTACAAATATTTTAAACTTGCTTAAAATATTTTTATTATACAAATGTGCATTATTATAGAATTAAAACAAATATATAAATATCTCATTTTATTAAATGCAGTATTCGTGAATACTGCACATTATTTTTTTGTAATTACTAATCAAATATTACACTGCATTTGTTAACGTTTTTATTGAAAAACATTAAAATTAACATTCAGCTCAGGTTTAATTAAATATTTCAACTGTTCGGTAAGGTTTGAGGTCGACTGATACTACGTATATAATATAAATAATTTACATTAAAAGAGCTTTCAAACAAGACTAATTTGTTCAAAATTATACACATTATTAAATTTGTTACATATCATTAAAATATTGGTGACAATAAATGTGGGATACCAAGTTTATGTTAGCAGTGGCAGTGTATTTGATGAATTATTTAAAAACACTTTTCAACAATTTAATAACAATGTAAACACAGTAGATACATTTTTAGTCGGTATCCAAGTTACACATGTGATAGTAATAGATTTTTACTGCATGCTATAATCAAAATGTTTTTTAATATTGATTGTTAACAATTTATTAAATTATTAGACACACGAAAAAACGGTTTAGTATGGTCCAGTAAGATAAGTTACTACACCAATATGAGGTTCATCCTAGTATAGATAAATGCATTTTTCGTATCAACTTTTCGTCAACCAAACTTCTCACATTCCAAGTTGCAATTTTCAGAGCTAAGTCAGGGATTCTAAGCATCCTCAGACCGTTTAAGGTCTGCTAGGTACTAATAACCATTGTTATAGTTTTCTCTGCTATGAAAATTTATAATTTAAATAATAATATGGTGGTTTTTTGTTTCCATTCATAAATAAGACTTTTTGGATATATTTATCTCTTAGTTTGATACAAATGTAGCTGGCCTACTATATTGGACCCAGGCGTCCTCGAAGTTGCTACATCCGTAACACAAGATGTACCCCAATTTCAATATAATATTAAAACTAAAAATATCAATATTGACTGTATTATAATAAATTAAATTTTTTGGGACATTCTATAAATTAGTTAAATATGTATGTTGTATGATGCCATTTTAAAAAAAGTTCTCTATAAGGTATAAAGGAAGAACAAAAAGTACTTAATTTTTAATTAATTCAAAGTTCGATTGATTTTTATCTCAATAATATTCAATAAATATTTAGGACCTCACTACTGTAGTCTCCCATGCGAGAAGATATTTTTTATTCGTTATTGTTATAATTTAATTTTTATTATTATTATTACAATTATTAATACATGGATTTTATTTTGACTATCATTTATTTTTTCAGCTCTCACTTCACCTACTTTTACGGTAAAAACGCAAACAAATATCGAGCTTTTCTAATAAATTTACTGATAATAGTAATTATAAAATTTTCTGGCTGCATCTTAACAATAACATTTTTTTAATTCTCGTAAAATTTTCTATTTAAAGACGTCAATTCTAAACTTGCAAGTTGTACCAAAAGTTATGATAACAAATTCAACTTTTTTTATCATAAACTTTCTTAAAAATCAACTTAAAGGATTAAAAAATAGGTTAAATAAGTCATTTTCATTATTTTTAACATATTAATAATCAAAATCAGTAAAAACTTGGAAACAAATTTTTTTTTTGTTATAATTATTTTTTTATATGTAAATACACATTTGAATTTCCTTGTCATAACACAAAGCGAAAACCTAAACAAAACTCAAACGATAAGAGTAGTAGAGTAGTGTAGTGTGTACGAAGGTGATGTTGAGTCTGCTGCCTAGGTACTCACGTACACGTGACCATACAGCAGTTACCGTACTGCTATATGTACAACTATTATCTACTCAATTTCTCTTAATAATTATGTTAAGAACATTTAATTTATGTTTTTTTGTTTCAAGTATTTCGATAAAAACTGTACACATATTATTTCGGAAGTTATTACTATTTTTAAATATAAATTAGAAGTGTCGTGTGAGTAATATTATTGTAATCATTACACGTTACTATTCCTCCACACAATATTTTTAAATGTTAATAATTTCTGAAGTACTATTTCAAAAGTTGTTTTCGAGAACTAATTTTCTTAATTTGGATGATTTTATATTAATTAGCTAGTTAAATATGTACGTTACCTTAAGGGATTTCGACTCCTTTCGAGGAAAACGCTCACTGGCGCCAGCTTTTTACGACTTAAGGTTTGAAATTTTGATCAGATGCGCCCAAAGACATTTCTATGATATCAATTATAAAAAATGTATTTATTTTGTTTAGTTTTTACCATTCTGTGACCTTTATTAGTTTTTTTTTTCATCCACGCTCATGTTTTGAATAAGGGTATTGCTCATTCTAGTAAATATATATATTTATTTTGACTCTAACTTTGTAGATAATGAATTTGTAAGTCAATTTAATTATTCTCTTCAATTCATATTATATACATATTATAGTTGTCATTTATGCATTGATGGGTTAATCAATACATAAATTAGTGAATAAATTAATAAAGGTTAGTTAATAATCAACTCGATTATTAACTAATTTTTTTCTAATATCATGTTAGTTATTTGTATTACATGTTTGGTATATGTATATGTACAGAGATTTTTTCTATGAATTTCTTTTAAATAAGTTTATAATACAAAATTATTGATATATTTATTAAAATTTATTGGCATATTTATCTTTTAATCTGTTTGAATTTATACTTTATAATTAACTTACTGTTAAACTGTATTTTATTCACTTTAAACTTTTTTATTTTATAGTCCATTTAGAGTTTATACTAGGATAAGACTTTGTAATTACTCATAGATATATTTTGTACATTTTATCAATGAATGTTTGATAAGTTATAAATAAATTTCAACACAGTTATGATTATATAAGTTTGTACATACATTGTGAGGACAGTACAGTCTATTGATAATTATATTTATATCATATACGATGTATAAGTCTATGAGTTAAAAATGAAACCCATGACAAATATGTTGTAAAACGTCCAGTCATAGTAACTAATATTCTTATCAAAATTAATTTTTTTACATAATCTTAGGAATTATTATTTCAATCTGCTGAATTTTCTGTAATTATTCTATAATATTAACACAAATATTATAAATAGTATATGTTATAATTATTGCGTGCAACAGGATCGTATTTAAGGGGAATATAGACGATTGACCAACTATCAATATTTTGTTAGGTAGATATCTAAGAAATATGTCTTTTAAGTCCATTTCTATTTATCACCATTTTGATTTTTATCAAAGAATAGTCTATAGCACGTTACCAAAGTAAAAAAAACTACATACCCTCCTAAAATTATTCCTCAATATGCCCGTGGTGAATACCTCAATAAAGAAACGTCAACCTTATACTCAATAAAGTTTACAAGTTTTTCTTTTTGAATTTTCTTGATTTTAATAATTAAATATTTTATGTATTTTTGTTACTCTGATTCTGATGTAATATTATTTCTGCAAAACACTGATCGTGCCCGGCGTAGCTGTATACTTCACTGAAATCCGTGGCCCACATATAAGGATGGACCAAAGACTTATACGTGAGTCTCGTAGGGCCCCAGAATGGGGAAGGGGGTTAGTCTCAGCTAAGCGAAGTCTAATTATTAATAAATTGAGACATATATAAAATTAAAAATACCAAAAATAAAATTCTTAATGTAATTATTATTTTAAAAGCATTATCTTGTATATAACACATTTTTATAATTTCTACGTAATATTTACAATACTAAATTCTTAATGTGAATTTCATACTAAAATTAATTACTTAAATAATTATGAATTTATGTATTACACTTATAATTTATTTATCTTGTAATTGTGATTTAAACAAGGAAAGTAGGGGTTCGTATTGCTTTTGGAATATTTCAATAATTTTTTTTTTTTTTAATTAAAACACTATCAACAAATTTGCGTCAAAGCATTTTTCATGTTAGTGAATTTAATCACTGTCATATATCATTTATACTTGTCTCCATCGCGCTGGGTTTTACTTATTAATTATTGCATAATTTTAATCCATTTATTTACTTAAATATTTTTCAGTATTGAATGTTTTCATTTATGAAATTATTAGTACATAATAAAATTATTTAGTATGGTCCAGTAACATTAGTAACAACACCAATATAATTTTCACATGTGTATAAATAAATGCATTTTTCATTTTTCATATCAACTTTTTTATATTGAGGCCACCCTTTTCGGAAGTATATCCAAATGTATTTATATTCTTCGAATAAATAAATACACACATCTAAATAATAAGCTGCAGCAAATATATCCAATTCCCATATGATATTTTCAACACCTGTAAATAAAATATATATTTAAAATCTACAATATTATTTATACTTTTCTTTCCTTCACGAATAAAAAATTTTAACACTAAGTTTTATATTTTACAGTTTCGAACAAATGATTTATAAATATCAAATGTTAGACCATATTTAGATGTTTTTAATTATTACAAAATCATTGAGATAATTTAAAATATATTATAAAGATTACAAATATTTTTTGTACTTTAATGTTATATTTCAATCTTTAAGAAAATTATATACATAAGTTTATAACGAAAGATTTTAAGAGTTGAATTTTCTTTGATTGGATATAACAAATTTTTATTAAATAATATTGAGTATTGAAATAGTTCTATTTTTATACATAGTTTTTAGCACGGAATTTAATAAAGAATTGTTGATTTCCGGTTAAAGTCCAACATTACTCTAAAAATTTAATTTTATACTTTTTTTAATAAAAGAGATAAATAAACTATTTCATTAAATTTGAACAAATAAATAATTTTTTTTTCAAATTTTTATGGAATTGTCTTATTTATTTATTAATATAAACGTTAAAAATTACTCAATACTAACTGGACTACTACCTTATCATCGGGATAATAATACGATTTTATTTTTATATTTTCCAGATCATTAATAATTAAATAATGTTCAATTTTTTTTTTTTTTTTTGATACCGAAAGTAGCTACAATCTGAAACATTTATTAAGACTTATATATATTCCGGGGCGGTTCCTTGAGACGTGGCATAGTTGGGACAAGTATAGATGATATCTGACAGTGATTAAAATCACTATCATAAGTAACACTTCGATGCAAATGTGTACATAGTGTTTAATTTTAAGAAATTGGTGGATTATTCCAAAAGCAACATGGTCTCCTATTTCTTTCATTGTTACTAATTAGTAGTTCTATGATTTATAAGTAAAATATATGATTAAATATCTATTAAAGAAAGTAAATATACTATCAAAATAATATTTAATAAGTTTTCATTGTTATAAATGTTATATCAACATAAAATAAATATTATTACTTACTATAGAAGTATTTCTATACATATCTAGACTAAACTTTCTGTCCCTGCTTATTACCAGGTGTGCTCCTAATTAACTTCCGGTTTTTTTTGACAGATAGCGTGCTATGTTTTGTATTGCTATTGATAACATACACATGTTATTTTGTATAGTTGATATCAATTATTTAAACTGTGTTAACGTTTTTTTTTTAAACATTTTCATTAAGTTTTTATTGTGCGTCAAAAATGTCAAGTTACGTGCCCAATTTTGAACATATGCGCCATGCATTGCTTTTTATGTTTAATCTAGGAAAAAAGGTGTCCGAGAGCCATCGTGCGCTGGTGGAAGTTTATGGCGATCATGCTTTATCACTTCGAACATGTGAAACATGGTTTCGACAATTCAAAAGTGGAAATTTCGACTTGAATGACGCCACACGTTCCGGTAAGCGAAAAACATTTGATGATATTGAATTACAAGCTTTATTGGATGAGGACAACACGCAAACGCAACGACAGCTCGCTGATGCGCTTGGAGTTCAACATCAAGCAATATCCAAACGTCTAAAAGCTATGGGAAAAATTCAAAAGTGTGGAAAGTGGGTGCCTCATGAACTGAACGAGAGACAAATGGAAAACCGGAAAGTGACCTGTGAAATGCTGCTTCAACGGTACAAAAGAAAGTCGTTCCTGCATCGTATTGTTACTGGGGATGAAAAATGGATCTATTTGGAGAATCCTAAACGCCAAAAATCGTGGGTCAGTCCAGGTGAAGCAACGACATCGACGGCACGGCCAAATCGTTTCGGTCGGAAGGCCATGTTGTGTGTGTGGTGGGACCAGACCGGTGTGATCTATTTTGAACTGCTAAAACCCGGCGAAACTGTTAACGCCATTCGCTACCAACAACAATTAACAGACTTGAAACGAGCAATTGAAGAAAACCGGCCTGAATATCATGCGAGGCAGAAAAAGGTGATTTTGCTCCATGATAATGCACCATCGCATAAATCAAAAGTCGTGCGCGACACATTGGAAAAGTTGCAGTGGGAAGTACTTGATCATGCGGCGTACTCACCAGACCTGGCCCCGTCTGATTACCACCTTTTTGCATCGTTGGGTCACGCTCTCTCTGAGCAGCGTTTCGAATCATTCGAAAATTTACGAAAATGGCTCACCGAGTTTTTCATCACCAAAGAGAGTCATTTCTACTGGCGTGGTATCCACAAATTGCCCGAGAGATGGGAGAAATGTATAGAAAGCGATGGGAAATATTTTGAATAAAATAAATATAAAAGATTTTTTACAATTAATGTGTTTTCTTTACAAATAAACCGGCAATTAATTAGGAGCACACCTGGTAATTCTGACAAAACATCGAAAAGTTCATTTTTATTAAAATAAAAATCAACTGGAATCATGTTTGGTGTTAACTTCTGATTCATAATTGATTGCTGATAAGTAAATCCCAAACTTGTACATTTTTCTCTACATCATTCTTTATCCACTGGTTTATAATGAAATGGGAGATCTAAATATGTATTACTAAAGTAATACACATCACCATGAGGATAATAAAATTTATATGGAATTTCAATAAGCTAAAAGTTAAATAAAAACGTTATTTTAATGATTATAGAGTATTATGGTTATTTTTCAATAAATAGTTAAGATCTTTAATTTTTGTATGAAAATTATATGAATGACTTTTCTATGTTCAATTCAATAAACTTAAATGAATTTACCTCTCTTGAAATAAGTGACTTAATGCTGCATAGAATATATAAAATTGCCACTTTTATCACCAAAAACATTCTACCTTATAATAAAATTTATGCTCTAATATTATAAAAATATAATAAAATAAGACGTAAAAATAGTATTCGAAATTAATAAAATAACATTGAAATATGTTACAAAAGTACCGTTCAGTCTAATTTTGTAGGTTCAATGTTTTGTACGTTATATTTTATACTAAAATACTAATGTACTAGCTTTTCACAAATTAAAAAGTGGAAAAAAAAGTAGTCAACTATTTTGTTAATTGTTGAAACAGAAGTCCCATAAATACTGTGAAAACAGAGTTCAATTTTATTTCATAATTTGAATTGTGATTAATAATCAAAATTAAATAATTAAACTAAATATTAATAAAAAATATTACATTGAGTAAAGATAATTAATTTTGGTATTTTTCTTTGGGAATGTATTTTTTTAGTTTCATATATTTATCGATTTTTTAAAAATTAAGTCCTTTTTTTCCTCCTAAATATTAATTGAATTTTAATGAGATAAAAATCAATCGAACTTTGAATTTTTTTCTAACTCGAAAATAATTAAAAAAAAAATGCAAAAATATTCACATGCACGGGTGGTTTGAAACTAGTACCCCAAGCGTTAAAAACATTAGTTTTATCGTTTCGGAAACTCTGAAATTAAAGCTTCTGTAATATACTTTAATATAAAAAATTTTGGACTATATTTTATTTACATGGTGAAAACGACATAAATAAAAAAATACAATTTTTGTAAACAAATTCTTTTTCATATTTTTTAACTTTTAATGCTATAACTTTTTGAAAAATGTATGGATCAATACAATTTTTTTTGAGAAATAATATTTAAATGCTTCTTTCATTTGACATACTTTTTTTTAAAATCGGACTTTTTCCCTTTATACAAGTGTAGTTCAAAACTTAAAAATACGTATAGAAAGTAGAAATTTTTCAACTTATTTTGAATTAAAATATATTTATTGATTATTCATACGTAACCTAATAATCAAACATAAATATTTGTTATATTAATTAAAAGGATTTTTTTGTTATATAGGTCATATGCAATTATGCATATATGAAATCGGCATAAAAGTAGGTTTATAAAAGTATATTTTGGTCTCGGATGAAAAAATAACAAACAGTTTCTTTTTTTTTTTTTGAAGTATTGTATCAAGACCTTTTATTTAAGTTTACCGTAAAAGTAATTACTACTTTATAATTTATTATAATTTCTCCATAAAAATTACAATACTAAATTATTATATATCAATTTCATATTATAATTAATTGTTATAAAAAATATTTATTCATATATTACACTTATAAATCATAAAGCTTAATCATGATATAAATAAGGATATAGGAGATCACGTCGCTTTTGAAATAATCCACAAATTTTTTGAAATTAAAAACTATCTACAGATTTGCATAGAAGCGTTTTTTTTTATAGTGATTTTAATCACTGTCAGATATCATTTTTTTAGATCCATCTATGGTATGTCCTTTAAGTGCAGCGACCCTACTGTGCTGAGTGTTTTTGACTTAGTTTTGTGATATATTATAGTATAACTTTTTTACAAAATTACGAATTTCTCTGAGTGCTAATCCTTTTATTTATTAGTAAAAAAATTGTATCTACAAAACTTGTAGAAACTCGATAACGTTAATACATGCCGACTTTAGCTCAAACTTTTTGAATGTAAGAATTTAAAAAATATTAAGGAAACCATAATATAAAAAATGTATATAAATAAAAAAAATTACAGTTTTATTTTCTACAAAAATTAATATTTAACACGTTATATTGAGAAGTCCTAAATAAACACAAAGAAAGTCTATTATTTGACGTACAATTGCATAAAATGTTTTTTCTAATCTTACAAATGATTCAATTGTTATATGTATTTTAATTTATCATAAACCACTTATGTATTGGTAGAAATATTGTAATAATAGAAAATTAGTACTATTAATTAATAGAAATACATTTTATAGAGATACTATTTATCCTTCTTATTAGTTATAGTAAAACCGTTTTCAACAATTCGATAATAATGAAAACACGGTGGATATATTTTTAGTAGGTAAACAAGTTAAACATGAGCTAATGCAAAATTTTTGATTATTAAGATTATTACCGATATATTTTTGTATAGATTGTTTATATTTATAAAATTATTAAATACATGTAAAAATTATCTATTATGGTCCAGTCACATTAGTTACAACATTAATATAATTAATTCGTTCATACATGTATAAATAAATGCATTTTTCATTTTTCATATCTACTTTTTTATATTTGGGCCAACCTTTTCGGAAGTATACCCATATGTTTTGAGAGTCTTTGAAGACATAAATACACACATCTAAATAATAAGCTGCAGCAAAAATATACAATTCCCAAAGTGGCTTTATAAATCCTGTAAATAAAATACTTGTTAAAAATATATTATAATTTAAAACTGTCTCTACCATTGAATATTAATCAGAATGGTTTACTATAAATACTATATCCTATTTTTATTTTTGAATATTTCCCAAGTTTCCTACTAAAATTTTAAATCTTCTGCAAAGTTTTAAATCAATCTATAAAATTTACAAATGGTTGTTTCTATAACAAAAATTGTTTAATTCCCCCTATAAATACGGATTGTGGTATTTGTATTAACAATATGATATAAAAATAATGACGGTATTTTTTCTATTCGATTGACAGATTGAGTTCTAACTAGTTTTTAAATTTGAACTTGAAATAATAATGTATCATTTATTTGGTATTCTTAATACTGGAAATATTATTAATCTGTGCGAGTAGGTCTCAAATTATTTTCATTTTAGTTTTTAATAAAACTGTTTTCACTCCGCACAGTATTTTAAATTACAATTTTAGCACTGTAATATTAATATAAGTAAACATTTTTATTTTTAGTTGAAAAAAAAGATTGATAACATTATTTAAGGATTACACATTGTTCTTGAAATTNGTTGTTCTTGAAATTATTCTAAGAACAAAATAATGTTTTTAAAAAATAAATTTTGTTATTTTTTCTGCTTAAAAAATCTAATTTAATTAAAAAGTTCTAAGATATAATATTACACAACCAAATTCAATATTATTACTATGAATACTAGACAATCTAATAGAAAACACCACAGGTAGCAAAATAGTATTAAAATAATATTATAATAGTGATATACTTGTATTTTGGAATAATATCATACGTTTATTTAATAATTCTTTTATTAAGGAAACAAATATAAAAATCAAAGGGCTTTTGATTTTTACATAGGAATAAGAATAGGAAAAACAATAAATGATTCTGGTCTAATGTAAGCCAAAATTGTAATGATGTACTTTATGAATGGGAGAACCTTCTATACCATCAATTAATTAAATTAAAAATAATTTAATATCTCTCTTCAGTAGTTGTACAGGTAAAAAAATAGAAGCAATGTCTTTTTAAAGACATAAATGGTAATATTTACTAGGTTTTACTACAAGTATATTTTTAATATTAAGTCTTATGATCTACTGGAAATCTATAGAAACACTTATGAGATGTAACTATTTTTAAAAGGTCAGATAATAAAGTATTAGAAACTTTATTATTTATAGCCCATTGAGCCAGTTCAAATTTTATTCTTAAAAATAAATCAATCAGGTTATCTATTTCTGTAATATAATCACAACCAGGTAATTTATCATTTGATACATCATTATTAGTAATAAAATTATTAAAATTAAAAAATATAAAATCAACAGATTCTTTGTCAGATATATCTGCAGCAGATATGTGTTCATTTCAGATATTACTGACGTAAAAAAAAATGTTTGCTTTAGGTAGATTGTCGTCCAAATTTCTCTAACGCACTAAAACAACAAGATTGTTGACATCACTCAAATTCTTCTTTCTTTTTCTAACTATGTGCATAACTTGTGTGATAAAAATATGTGACTACTTATAGGAATATTTTTCAAAAATGTTTAGATCTCAAAAATAAGATATCTTATAAAAAGAATGTAAATTAGCAATATTGTTTAATATAAAAATAACCATCAAAGTGTGGTGGCAAACTTTGATGATATTGGGCAGTAATTAACACCACTATCATAATCAAATGCTTGTATGCGAATTTATTGAATTTTTATAGATTAACTTTTATAAATTTTAAACTTCAAATTAAAAAAGAGATTGCCAATTTTTTTTTTTTTTTGAAAAGATGCGTTTTGATTTACTTCGATGGCCATCGTCAAATAAAAGAACAATTATTGGACAACATTTTTTGTAATATTGTAAAACATTGTTAAATCTTAAATTTGCTAATGGTCAAAAATTGTAAGATTTTCAGAATCATATTCAAGAATAGAGTTGAAAAAAAATGTATACATGCGTAGGCGGTCTTTTTGAAACACTTCCTGTACTTGGGTATTTTACCCCTGTTGGTCGGGATTAGAATAGACCATCGGTTGTTCCTGCTTGTTGTAAAAGGCGACTAAAAGGGACTTGTAGTAGAGCAGCAGTTACTACAATATTGGGTGTAGGTTCATCAGCTACACGCCAGGCAGCAGCCAACAGATACGGGAAACTGTATAACTGATGGCTGCACTGCGATTCAGAAGGCAACGGGAAACCACCCTATTAATATCCCTAGTAACAGCAATCGATATGTCTTCTTCTCATGTAAAAAATTCCGAAGGTAAAATAGTCCCCCGTTCGGATCTCCGGGTGGGGACTACAAGAGAGGTAAGAAGTGTTAAGGATGTGAAGCAATATAAACGAATAGCAACATGGAATGTAAGGACTTTATTACAATGTGGGAAATTGGAGAATCTGAAAATAGAAATGGACAAGATGAAAATCGATATTCTTGGAATATCAGAAATGAAATGGCCAAAGTCAGGAGACTTTTGGAGCGGAGACCATAGAATAATATATACAGGAGCATCAGAGAAGAAATCTGGCACAGGAGGAGTAGGGATTATAATGAATAAAACCCTAGTAAAAATAGTTAAAGGCTATATACAATGTGACAATAGAATAATTCTAGTCAAGCTCCAGACGAAACCAAAAGATACAATAGTAGTTCAAGTCTTTATGCCGACATCAAATAGTAACGATGAAGAGGTAAAAGAAGTATACGAAAATGGAGATAAAATAATCGAAAATGTTAAAGGGGAAGATAATCTGGTAGTAATGGGTGATCGGAATGCCGTTGTAGGGAAAAAAAAGTAAATAATGTAACAGGTGCCTTTGGGTTGGGAACGCGAAATGTAAGAGGAGAAAGCTTATTAGAATTTTGTGCAAAAAATAACTTAATAATCACAAACACTTGCTTCGATCACCATTGAAAATGAAGATACACGTGGAAAATTCCAGGAGACATAAATAGATACCAAATAGATTACATCATGGTTAAGAACAAATTTAAAAATAAAGTAAAGGAAAGTAGAAGTTACCTAGGAGCGGGTATAGATAGCGACCACAATCAAGTAATGATGAAATGCGAATTTAAATTTAAAAGAATAATGGATAAAAAGAAGAAAATAGTGCAAAGGAAAATTAAAAATCTGAGAGATGAGAAAATAAGCAAAACATATAGTGAAGACACTAATGATATAATTATTGAAGAATCTCAAAATATTAAAGAAAGATGGCAGAACTTGAAAGATACAATTACAATGGCTACAACAAAAACTCTAGGAAATAGCAACAATGCAGCAAGAAAGGAATGGATTACGACGGAAATAGTCAACATGATAGAGGAAAGAAGGAAATACAAGAGTTTGAACAGTATAGATAGACAGGAAAAATACAGAGAACTGAGGAATCTAATCATTAGGAAATCCAGGGAAGCAAAAGAAAAATATTTGGAAGAAAAGTGTAATGAAATAGAAACCCTCATAAAGACAGGAAGTAGTGATGAAGCATATAGAATGGTGAAAATGTTTTTTGATCAACATAAGCCCCGAACAGGGGGAATAGAAGATAATAACGGAAGAATGCTATATGAACAAAATGATATAGCGAAAAGATGGAAAGAATATCTAGAAATCCTGTACAAGAGGGAAATACTTAAGGAAAATGAAACCAACGAATCAAACGAAGAAGATGACGAAATAGACCCAATTATGAGAGAAGAGTTCGACAAAGCTTTGCAGAATATGAAAAATAAAAAAGCAGCAGGAATCGATGGAATACAATCGGAGCTTTGGAAGGAGGCGGAGAAAAAGTTAAAAGGGAATTATTTTAAATTATCAAAGTTATATACGAAACCGGTGAATTGCTTGAAGATTACGTAAAGAGCCTAATTATTCCCATCCCAAAGAAAACAGCAATAAAGAAATGTGAAGAATACCTTACTATTAGTTTGCTATCCCATGCCTCTAAAATACTAACAAAGATTATATTCAAACGTATTGAAGATAAAATAGAACAATCATTGATAGAAGACCAATTCGGGTTAAGAAGGAATATGGGAACGAGAGAAGCAATATTGGCGTTAAGGATAATTATTCAAAAATGGATTAGGAAAGACAAACAAACATTTATAGCTTTTGTGGATATCAAAAAAGCATTTGATAACGTAAATTGGAAGATAATGTTTAACATGATGAAAAGATTGGGGTTTAAATACACAGATAGGAAACTTCTGTATAACCTATACAAGGATGAATCCGCAGTTATAAGGATCCAAGATGAAGAGGAAATTAATATAATAAAATAAACAGAGAAGTTAGACAAGGTTGTACATTATCTCCAATTACATTCAACGCATATATTCAAGAAGCAATAGATATGATAAAGAAAAATACCAATCTAGGGATAAAGATTAACGGACAAAAAATAAGTATGTTACGTTTTGCCGATGACATAGTTTTAATTGTTGAATGCAAGAAAGATCTGGCTCAACTAATTAAAGCTATGGATAAAACATTCCAAAAAGAGTTGGAAATGAGAATAAATGTGAAGAATACAAAAGTAATGGTATGTGATAGGGAAAATAATACAAGAATACAGATTAAAATACGAAACCAAGCAATAGAACAAGTAGATGAATTTACATACTTGGGAAGCGCAATCAGCAAGAATGGAAGAAACAGAAGTGAAATTATAAAACATATCTATCAAGCTAAAATAGCTTTTACAAAAAGAAAACTATATTTACATCAAGGAGCATGAGTCTAAAAATAAGAAAAAACCTATTAAAGACCTATGTATGGAGCATTGCTCTGTACGGGTGTGAAACCTGAACAATAGCAATGGAAGAAAAAAGAAGGCTTGAGACGTTTGAAATGTGGTGCTATAAAAAGATGCTAATGATAAGTTGGATAGACAGAGTAACCAATGTAGAAGTACTGGAAAGAATATCAGATGGAAAGTTACTATGGAATAACTTAGTCAGAAGACGCAACGAATGGATAGGTCATAATGAGACACGAAGGATTGTTAAAATTGATAATAAAAGGAACAGTAGAAGGAAAGAACCGTAGGGGTAGACTAAGATTGGAATTCATTCAACAGATAATAAAGGACCAAGGATGTGACTCATATGTGGAAATGAAAAGGAAGGCGGATAAGAGAGAAGACTGGAAGATAGCTGCAAACAAATCTACGGATTGAAACCATAGAGAGAGAGAGAGAAAAAAATGGGAAACAACAAGTCCTTATCTCTAACAAAGTAGTTAAAAATCTCCCTATGAAAGTGATCGTCCATCTAACTCATTCATATTTATAACGCAGCCCTTCGTTTATCATACTTTCCAACTACCTGGGAATCATCAGTCATTGTCACGTGCTCAAACCTGACAAGCCGCCTGAAAACCCCTCCTCGTATAGGCCCATTAGCCTACTGCCGGTATTGGGAAAAATTCTAGAAAAAATCATTCTTAAGCGTATTACCAGTATAGCACAATCAAATAATATTATCCCTAACTTCTAGTTTGGCTTCCACTCACATCATGTCACAACTCACCAATTCCACCGGGTTGCTGACACCATCTAATCTGCACTCGAAACCAAAAAATGCTGCGCCGGAGTCTTTTTGGATGTTGCGAAAGCATTTGATACCGTCTGGCATGACGGCCTCCTTTACAAACTTAAAAATACTTTTTCAGCTCCACTGTACTTAATACTAAAATTCTATCTTGAAAAGCGATCATTTAATGTTAGTCACAACCTGCAACATTCAAATCAATACCCTATCTCTGCCGGTGACCCTCAAGGCAATGATATCGCTCCATTCTTACATACTATTTATACGTCAGACCTGCCTACATTTGAAAACACTATAGTCAGGACTTATGCTGATGATACCGCCCTATTATCAGCTTCTCCCGACCACAACATTGCGCCTCAACAACTTCAAACTCATCTTAATACTCTTTTACAATGGTTCACCGACTGGATAATAAAAATTAATGAATCAAAGTCTTCCTTTGTTACTTTTTTACTCAGACCTCACAACTGCCTAGCCGTATCAATTAACAATATCATCATTCCTCACTCGAATAAAGTTAAATACCTCGGCCTTACATTCGACAGGCGCATAACTTGGTCTTGTCATCTTAAAGATAAGCACAAAAAACTAAATTCTAGACTCCATCTGTTAAAGCCACTCCTCCGTTCTAACCTAACCATACCCATCAAAATAATTTTGTACAAAACTCTTCTTCAACCAATATGGACATATGGTATTGTAATCTGGGGTTCTGCTAAGGATTCAAATAAAAGAACCATTCAAGCATTCCAAAACATCTGCCAGCGGATAACCCTGGTTCGTCTCAAACGTCATAAACGTCATAGACGCTTCCACGCCAAGTTACAAGATATTCCCAACCAACTAATACACGATTTAGCTTCTTTAACACTTCCTGGGAACCCTTCAAGACGCCTCAAAAGGAATTGGTGACGCGACTTAAAAACCTAAGAATAATAACTTAATAATATTAAGAGGTGTCTCAAATGTGTGACTTCCTCTTCATGTGCAAATACATTGTCAACTGTCTATAAATTATAAATATTACTTATTGTGCATACTTTATAGATTGTAATTTTTCAAATAAAGTCAATTTAAAAAAAAAAAAAATTTTATAAAATCTATTGTGTTTGTTTTTTTATTCTAAACAAATATTTCAATGTGCGAAGATTAAAAAAACACTTAGTTTTAGGAAATATTTGTAAACTACGTGGCATAATTTGATCACACTATATACGCGAAATGGTCAGTTACGAACGCTCTGTTTTATAAATACATGGTGTCTATAAACTTGAGCAATATTGTTGAGATACATACACCTTACATTTTTATCATATGCTATTCAATGAATACAAATTATGATAACAGTTTAATTTTTGTATCATCTCAAATATTACATAGATACAGAATGATTCATTAAGAATGAGACTATCATTTTTTCAGAAACTATTGAAAATTATGTAAAGAAAATTTTATTTGATTCAAAAAACTATACAATAATAGTTAAATAACTTTTGCTTGGCTTCTGGGATATTAAACTTTAAAATTTGGCAATTCCATACACTAGTTGGGTTTGATTTTGTTGTGTGGCAAATTATACGGTACCGTGTATTGATTTAAAACACAATATTACATAATTAGAAACTATTGAATGATTAAATGAAATTTTGTATTTAACTAGAGATATCGAAAAATATAATTTCGTTTACCTAATATAACTTTCTGTAACACTTCCTAAGATAACCTACAATTTACTATAGTAAACTTGTGATTAATTGCGATTATTAATAGACATTAACCATTTTAGTTAAGGTTTTCGTAAATTGAATAATAGTCTGGTCAATAAAAGCTTGATTATGTGAAAAATGAAGAATTCTGTTAATCATAACAATAAAATATCATTAATAAATTGAATCAAATAATTTAACTTTAACGTGCTGCGACACAAAAATATTTGATCGTAAAATAAAAATTATAAAATCAAAACTTATTGTAAATTCTTTTGTCTCAATAAAAATAACTGATTTCTTTATTCATGACGGTCTTTTGAAGGAAAATCCTGAATTTAATTATGCTAAGGTTCTTCTTAGCAGCATAGTTATACCTCAGGCCTAGCACTTATTTTGATAATTTAGATTTCGCGCCTGTAAAACAATAACGTAAATTGTATTACAATTATTTTTGAAAATTGTACGGCCTGTCTTATATATATAATATGGCTAAAACAATAAGTTATAAACGATATTTTTATTTTAATGTATCAGCGGCTATTTAATATATTTATGTAAATTCTAAGTATTACAGTAATAATTAGAAAGTATTAAAAAATGAAATGTAAACCAGAAACATACTTGGATTTTTTTGTTCAATATGAGACTTTAAATCATTTTTAAACCATCTGTCATTATTAATAAACTTCTTTATGTCTTTATTTTTAATAAGATTCTAATTTCATAAAAAAAATAAAGTTTTTATTGTTATAAATGTCATATCAACATGATAAAAACATTATTGCTCACTTTAGAAGTATTTCTAAATATGTCTAAGTTATATTTGCTGTCCTTACAAATTAATTCTGACAAAACATCGAAAAGTCCTTGGTCATGAAAATAAACATCAATTGGAATCATATTTGCTGTTAAATTCTGATTTATATTTGGTTCCTTATAAGTAAACCCCAAACTAATACATTTTTCTATACACCAATTTTTATCTACTGGTTTGTAATTAAATGGGAGATTTAAAAATTTAACTTCATATCCAAATCGATTATTTTCCATAAAAACCATTTTTGTTGGAATAGCTATGATCTGCAAGTTAAATAAAAATTTATTTTTCTGTAAGTATTAATTATAACAGTTATCTTTATTTAACGATTTGATTAAGATCTCTAATTTTTGTATCAAAAATACATGAGTAATTTTGCTTTACTAAAATCAATAAATTCTAAAAAAATTACTTCATCTGGATCATTTGACTTGGTGCTGCAAAGAAAAAATAAAATTAACACGTTTGCCACTAAAAACATTTTTATCTTATTTTGAGTTCTAATCTATCGTGCCAGTATAATAAGTTTATTTAAAATAAAACTGATTGTACTTATATAATTTTATAATTTATATATATTTTAAATTCAATTTATTATAAAAAGTAATATATGTAATGTAATAAATTAAAATTAGGAATTAATTTTGCATTGTAAGCTTAAAGTAAGTAAAATTATTATAACCATGATTCATTAAATATATTTTAAATTGAAAAAGTAAAAATAGATTAGAAAACATAAAAACAAATAAGAAATATTTTATGAATTTTAATGTACATTGGAAATCTTATAACCAAGAGTGTAAAATTACATTATCTTTTTTTTATATCAACCTTTTGAGTTTTAAAGTTGCTTAAAGATTTAGATTCAAAATAAAAGTGTATAAATAATTTGATTTTCATAATACTTATAGCACTAATAATTTTCTACAACAGGCCATATATTGTTATTATTATTAATTTTGACTATTGTAAGTAACAATTTCGCACCGACCGTGATATTCATACACCTTTCTTGCTGGTCAATGTAATACTTCAAATTTTCCAACTTTATATGCGTTTTTTCGAAATTAAATTCTCACTCTTCTGTGTAGTTTTAAATTTCACGCACAGTACGTGTGTTCAATTTTACGTCATAGTGTTTCTTTAACGTATTTATTTTTATTTTCGGTTTTCCTAATAAGTACAACGAATAATTTTGCTAGCTTATCGCGAGCCATCCTTAGCTGCCGGCTCGTTACCGACCGATGTCAGTACACGTTATCTAATCTTAGATGATAACTCAACGAACAACAGTAGCAATCGGAATAATACAAATAAAACTAACAAATCGGTTTCTCCGATAATAATGAAAAATAATAAAATTGTCAACACAACCTCCGCGCAATCAAATTCAGATGATGTTACTTCACCAAATTTATAAATCATGATCAAAGAAGACGGATTCCAAACCCTAAGTAATTGGGTAAAATTACATAGAGTATTTTCTCCCAATTCACCTTCATCTGAACACCAATTAAAAAAACTGATGTTTATTTCGGTAAATAGATTTAATTACATTTCTTTAGAAAATAACACTCAAACAAATAATATTGGTATCAATAATAATAATAATGATACTAGTAATAATAACAACAATATAAATGTAATGGACACTCAAGCCCAAAATATTCCTATATCACCGCTAATTTTTGAACGTGGGGTTGGGGATATCAGCGTGATGAGCAATAAACTGGTAAATAAAATTGATTCGGAGAATTTCTTTTACAAAGCTTCTCAGTAGCCTGAAAATTCAAAAACTAACACAAGATTGTTACAGAAAAACCATTCCTTTTTAAAAGAAAAAAAAATGATAAATTTCATACATACAAATTACGCGAGGAAGAAGCTTTTAGAATTGTAATAAAAAACTTACACCCAGATACTTTTGTCAATGAAATTGAAGAAGAAATAGTAGAAATTGGTTATGCTGTTCGTCAAATAATTAACTTACTACTACAGAGAGAAACAGAGGCCCCTTGCCTATTAATCTACTCGTCTCTATTCCGACTACAATATTTAACAATCTATTATTAAAAAAGAATGTCTAATAACCTACAAACTTCAAAATCATTTCTCATCCTATTATGGAATACGTCTTAATATTAACGTCTTAAGCAGCCTCAAAAATGAAATTTTATATTCACTAAATGAACTCAATATTGACTTGGCTTAAACCCACTTTACTAATGCATCAAAAATATTTTTTCCTGGTTGTCAAGTGTCACGCAAAAACCATCCTAACAACTCAACACGAGGAGGTGCTATAATCATTATTAAATCATCTATAAAATATAATACCTACTTTACATTTCAAACAAACTATTTACAATCTGCCTCTATAAAAATTGTTTTAAATAACATAACTATTACTTTTGTTGCTGTGTACTACTCTTCAAGAAACACTATAACTGTTGAACAATTTTATGATTATTTCTCTTTACTAGTCCATAACGCTATTGTAGGAGGTGATCTAAACGCAAAAAATACTTACTGGGATTATCATTCTAAGATCTCTATAGGCATCTATTTAAGTCAAGAATAATATGTCACCTGTATTGTATGTATAAATTATTCAAAAAATGTAACCTTTATGTTTTGTCACTACAATGTACCTTAAACTATGTAGATAAGTCATTTTAGCACGTAACTACCTAATACTATTATCATGTATAACTGTATTGTATTGTACATTGTACTATGACATTATTTATATAATTAATAAAAAACTACATATGATGTCCTTTGATAATCGAGACTTCTAACAAAATCAATCTAATTAAAATGTTTCTACAAAATATATCATAAAAATCATATCCAGTAGTCTGTCCACAACCATATCGATCAAGTATCCACTTTCATATTCACCTCGACTATCAAGGACTGGAAGTGAAGACTAGACTTTATTCAAAGTTCAAATTTATTCAACTTTTATTACTTTCACATTATAAAATCTTAAATCACGGACGAAATCTAAGGTGAGTTATTTAAAGGTCTATAAAATAATTATTGCTGAGCTTGCTTCAACTATTATACGCTAAAAAAATTATAGTCTATATTTTTATTGCATTCATTTACACAAGTATTCTACCGGATCCTGACTATTCGTAAGTTAAGTTCAGGTCTATTCTTGATGAACTCTCTATTCCACACCCTGTTAGAGATAATTTATTTTCTTTAGTAGTAACTCAATCACAAAGAGTCTCGTATATTATATTGGATAATACTAGTTGACGAAACAACGGCGACTACTCATCTACACCTATTTAGTAACTATTACCCATCCAACTAACCTGTATTCTTCATTTTGAGTTACTACACTAACAACCGAAGAAAAATTAAAAAATCAATTAAAAATATATTCGACCACTGATCACTCTCCTGTCCTTCACACTTTAAATACCAATCCGCATCAACCCAATAACTTTAACAAATAAAAACACGAACTGGGAAACATTCAAAAATATCATTGATACTTATTTAACTCTCAATATTAAACTTAAAAACAGTGATGATATTGATAACGCAACTAATAGTTTAACATTATTAATACAGACTGCTGTTTGAAAATCTACTACTTCAAAGAAAAACAATCCCAATGAATTCTACACCGATTCCCTTGTATGCCCGTAACCTGAAAATAAGAGCCAGAACTGTGTGACAAAGAACTACACTGCCTTCTGACAAACATACATACAATAATTTAACTCTTTAAGTTTAACAAATTCTTTGCGAATTTTGTAAGGATCCTTTGAAAAGTTCACTTCTACATTTTCAGTGAAAGATGGTTCCTTATGGAAAGCCACAAATTCCATCTTACGTAAAAGATCTACTTTTTTCCTGGTGAAGTTAAAAATTGTATTTTTTTTTCTCTTCCTAAGAAATCTCCAGACTACGGTTTAATTACTGCTAAGATTGGTAGACAACTATCTAAAAGAGAAATTAATTTATTAATTTATACAAGGTATAAGGATTTATACAAAAAATAATGGGAATCTTTATATATCCATGATTTTGAAGAATTTGATTATCAATTATTTTTTCTATTTAATGTTGGTACACATGCCCCTTAATTACTATAAAATTTTCAACTGGATTCATTTTTGACTTTGTCAATGGTAGCTGCTAATGTTAGACGTGTTTTATGATCTCGATGATTTTTGTTTGTTAAAAAAACTGATCAAATTTTGAGTAAAAAATGAAATGAAATGTAAGAAAATGTGTGAAATGTTAAACAAAGACCTATGATAAGTCTACAATGAGTAAAACAAGGGTTTACTAGTGGTATAAGTGTTTCCAAGATGGGCGTTAAGANAAACAACGGTTTACTAGTGGTATAAGTGTTTCCAAGATGGGCGTTAAGACGTTGAAGATATAGAACACCCCGGACATCAACAACCGATGAAAACGTGGAAAAAGTGAAAGAAATGGTTATGAACGATCGCCGAATTACAATCAGAGAAATCGCCGATGATGTTGGAATATCGGTTGGCTCATGCTATGAAATTTTTTTGAATGTTTTGAGTATATCAAACAGTCAATTAGGAGTATTACTTGTAAGTTCAACGCCGTTTGCGAGAAGCAATCCGAAAAAACTCCCGGATTTGTGGCAAAACAATTTACATGTATGTAACCATTTTCACTGTGAACACAAAATATAGTCCAAAATTTTTCATATTAAAGTATATTACATAATCATTATTTTAAGATATATATATAAGTTTCAGAGTTTCTGGAACACTTTCAAAAGTTAAGTTGAAAGACTTAATTTTTTGTGAAAAAAATGTGAGCAGATCCACATGGGGGGAATCAAAATGACAAGGGTCAAATTTATAAAAAATATACTAAATGATAAGTAATGATATCATAAATCTATAAAAAAAAATTACATTAATATGATAATTTTAAAAAAAGTTATGGTAGTTTTATGTAAAAACAATTTAAAAAATGTCAAAAATTAGCAATTTTTAAATTTGTAATTTTTTTTGGAGATTTCCCCCATTTACGGGAAACGAGGGAAATTTTTCTAATTTTTGAGAGTAATGTTTTCGACTAGATACAATTTTTGATCTTTTGACGAATCGTTGAAAGAAATCGGTTCAGTGAGAGCTGAGAAAAAGTGGTAACAGACACAATAAAAAAAAAACACACATCATCGTAAAACTAATACTTTTTCAGCTTCGCATCAAAACTAAAAAATTACAACTTCTATTAAAATATTTTTTTAAACAAGTACATAATAATAAGATATAATAGTTTATAAGATTATAACAAGATATATAATAGAGTTTTAATCTAACTAGGTGTAAATGATTCAATTTTTAGTAATATTTTAAAAAACATTACCTTCAAGTATTTATGTATATTTTATTTAGTCTGTATGGATTGATAACATATAACAACATAAGAAAATTAATATTTAAAAAAACTTCAGTAGAAATATCTTTCAAAACAATTATAAAAAAAAAACACATCATGGTAAAATTTTTTTTTAAAACTTTTTCAACTTTAGAATGTGTTCCGAAAATCCTGACACATAGACTGCTTATGTAATATACTTTAATATAAAAAAGAAAATTTTCAGACTTTAGTTCGTTTTCATGGTGAAAACTAACATCTAAGTTTAAAAATAATTAATTTCGTATTTTAAATTTTATAATGTTATAACTTTTTAAAAAATATATTAATCAATCAATAAATACTATTTCTAAACATCATTCACTGGACATAATTTTTTTTATTAAAAATACCATTTCCCTTTATATATTTATATAGTATATTTATTACACTTATAAATCATAAACCTTGTTGTCAGGATATAAATAAAGAAATAGGAGATCATGTTGCTTTTGGAATAATCAACCAATTTTTTAAAACTAAACACTATCTACAGATTTGTATCAAAGCGTTTTTTATGATAGTGACTTTAATCACTGTCAGATATCATCTATACTAGACCCATCTATGCCTTGTCCCCCCCACTATGCCGCAACCCCAATGTGCTGGGTTTTTTTTATGCATAATTTTTTAAAAATATTTTTGTAGATACAATATTTTCGTATTTGCAATATATTAAAGATAAACGTTAAAGACAAAAAAATACAACGTTTTCACGAAAAATAGTATTAATCAGTATTTATTAGTTAAACGTTGAACAATCAATGTTACAAAAAATTCGTTAAGACTTTTTTTTTTTTTACATTGTTGTTTACTGCATTATTAATACTGTGGATTTTTTTTTATTTATAATAATTAAAAATATATATACAAAAACTGAATTCCTACATCTTTTTGTCAATTTTCAACGCCTTTGAGGCACGTGGAGGTATTAACCTAGGATGCTCAAAATTCACCAATATTTTCTATATGCTGTATAGAATAAAATTCCGTTTACTTGACATCAAATATTCAAACTTGCAAAATAAGGATCATCCTAATGTATACAATGTATTCAATGATCATTATAGCCTTAATAATAAAGCTAACTTTAATTTCAACATAATAATAAATTTGCGTTTAATTTTCAATTATAAATTTATGTTAGTGTTATGATATGATATGTTAAACTACAATCTGCCAAGTGAATAGAAAGTAGAGGCTCATTTAAGATTTAACACGACTACCAAATGCTCTTAAAAATTTGATATACTAATAAATTTAAATAAATTATTTGAAAATTGGATGTTAATGAAAAATATTTTAACTAAAAAGAATCAAAGCTCTTCTTAAGAAAAATATTACTTTTGATATTATGAATTAAATAATGTACTATAGTAAACGAGATAAATTAATAATTCTATTCGTAAGATAATGAATAAAAAACTTTTTTTTTTAATAATTGAAATATATGTTATGTTAAATGACTTTTAATGTTAAACTTTTATGATAAAACATTTAGCAATTATTAATTTTATTCATTTCATTTCATATATAATTTTAAGTTCTGTTTGGTTTGAAATAATGGATTAAACTAGTTTATATTATATTTTGTGCTGTGTGATTGCTGTAATGTAACAACGCGAAGCAACTATCTAATTAATTACACTACTTCTTATTGAAAAGTGGAAAATCTAGTATTGTGTAATTGAATGATTTTTGTACTGCAGTGAAAAATATGATTATGACAGATAGTCAAGATTTATTTTAACGTGTTAAAAATATGAATTTGCTCCATCCATCTACTTCATAACTAGAACATTTTATGACGTAAGTTAATATATTAACAATTAGTATAATTGCTATCCGCGCTAGTGCAAAATTTTATATAAATATGGTTCATTTAAATTGGATGAAATAAAATAAAATTTATTTTTTCTATTAAAACTGATTTTTTTTTTTTAATTAATGTACACATAATTTGTTTATATTTACTTTAAAATGTTTTGTGTTCATTTCGATAAAATTCATCTATAGAGTAAGACTATTTGATCACACTAACTACTGGGGATATATATATACCCCTATGACAAAAATAATTACATGGTGAAGATACAATGTTTTCTTGAGGAGCAAATATTTTCATTTAGCTACAAAAAAAAAAAAAAACTGTGGAGTTTTGCGTGGTCATATTAACTAATAATAATAATAGAAAAAATTAAAAGTTCGTTTACTTTGCTATACATTATAATTAAAGTAGGTAAAGTAGAAAGTCAGTGAAGAAATCACAAACACCTTTTCGAATCAAAATTATTACAATAAAATTGCTGTAGGGTAGAATTTATTTCATTGTATGTAAACTTAAATTAGTTTCCAATCAAAACCGATATCCGGTGTAACTTCAATAAAGAACCGTATGTTCAACGTAACATAATTATACGGCGTTATGCTATCGTGACTTGCAACATTATACGGCATGGTTTTTGACTTATTGATTACAATTACTTTTCAACAGATGTTCGGGAGTATTCAGACTTTTAGTAGAATTAATCACGATTTATAAATAATACAATTAATGTAATCCATCCATGCATAGTTGCATTAAATTTCAGTTTCATAAAGAACAGTTGCTCAAAGAATATAGAAAACTCGATCAAACCAGATCGGGTAATCATTGAAATAAATTTTGTTTTACGCAATTCGTCAATCTTGTAGAAAAAAACCTATTTTACTCTTATAAAATGAAATTGGAAAAATAAAAAAATAAGGAGAAAAACGAAATTTGCTTAAGTGGAAAGTTCTTTTACTGGCCGCGTCATCGAGTTTAACGAATCGTTTTAATTTCCATTAGACAAGAATTCCATTTGTTTTGGAAATGGACTTTTGCGCGCCCATCTCCACTCTATCCAGGAAAACAATAGTCTCTCAAATTGAACGCCTTCCCAATAAAATGCTGGCGAATGGTTGGCGAAGAAAGGCAGAGAGGTATGGCCAAAACGAGGATAAAAGAATAAAGCGAAAAAGTTTAAAGAGGAAAAAAATGATCGAGTTAAGTACCTTTTTGGTAGGTACTTTTTCTTCACGGATTTGCTTCCATACACACAAACACTCACACAGAAATGCTGTGTAATATATAAACATAGTGTTTGGGTTTAATGTTTCAATTGATTTATTTTTGTGCTTGGCAACCGATTTTCCTTGTTGTACGTCGTTGAGCTGCAGAACGGAAGCAAATAGAAAAAGCACAGGGAAAAGAAGAAAGTTTTCGCCGCGAAAAAAGGCACTTTGTTTAGTGGCCCGTAAAAGCCTCTGTTCTGATGCTCGCACAGCAAGTAGTCTATGATGGCGGCGGCGGCGGCGGTGGATGTGTTTCCATTCTCGTTCAGGTCGTCTCACCGGTAAACTTAACTCGATTTGAGTACTCCGTAACGACGATAAAATGGGTCTTACAGCACACGTGTTGTTCACCTTGGAAACAATTTATGCACTTACCCTCATTGCTTGATGACAATACGTGACCTTATATAGATCCGTGTCTACCAGATACTGAATTTGAAAACCATCCTTCCATATTCCCTTACCTATGTTTACATCCATTATTGAAGCAATGTACAGATTACGATACGCGTACTTTGTGCATAATGTAAAAGCACTTGATGACAGATTTTATCGCGGCAAACTATACTCGGTAAACGTAAATACATTTATACGGAAATTTATTTAACAAAGCGAAAACACGATAATAGCAGAATCTCTTCACGAGTACGCATTTTGTGTATTTATATTTTATGAGATAGCAATGTGAAGTGAACAAACCGTAAACGTTTTTATTTTCTGTAGTTTACGCAAATTGTCGTACTATTTTAGAAGTGAATATAATTGTGTCGTTAAATTGTTACCACTTTAAATTGTCTTTGAAATAAATAATCAAAACTGAAATTTTGTTATAGCAATATAAGATTATGTTTTAAATACATCTAAATTAATAATATATCTAACTCGAATCCGTCTACTTTATTGGATTAGTCTCAAATTTTAAAGGACTAATTATTTCTCTATATTCAATAAATAGGCATTATGCTAAAGACAAATGATTACATGAAACATTAACCAGTATTTATTTTAACATAAAATACGTTTAATTTTTTACCATGTCGTTTTTATTAACTTATTTTTTAATTGAAAATAATTTTAAAATTAATTAAAATTATCGTAAATGGTTGTTAAATGAGTTTTCTTCGTGTTACAACATAATTGTTATAAATTGCTACGTTTTATGTAGTTCTTTAACAATTATTACAACTTATACTTACCACTGTGTACTTATAGCAAGTGACTCCTAAACTATATTTCAGCGATTGACAATACGTATGTGATCACGCGTTTATTATTTTTTTAGCTCGAAATCGGTACTGTACGTAAGCAATGTTGGCAATTCGCGAATATATAGCTATACACAATGATAATGATGTGATAGTGGCAGCCAAAAGAACCACCCTATTGCTGCTCTATACCTGTCAGTCACACAAAACGTAGGACCGCGTGTAATAGGTAACCCATTTGATTTGCTCGGGCTGTAAAAAAAGAAAAAATTAAATAATATTATCAATATAAATAGAATAGTAATGAAAATACAATAGCCGACTATTATTTCTGAATCAAACGGGGGAAAAGGAAATAATTGCAATTATGGGTCAATCGCAAACCATAAGCTGTAAACCGCCACTCCACCCGATGCCTTCGTACTATAATGAATTATTATCGCTACAACTATTGTTGTTGTTAATAACTACGGCGGCGGTCCGCATAGGTTTTTTACGAACGGGGCCATGTTCAATCTGTTGTCGTCTATTTGACTATTATTTGACATATTATGTACTAGCTACACGCGGTCATATCGAATGGCGTGGGCGACGGACAAGGGTGCACATAGTGTTTGGTCATTGTTTTTTTTTTTATTTCATACACTGTTAAATCATACCCACTTTACGATCTGGTACGTGTGTGTGTATTTTTTACCCCTCTCGTTTTGTGTATTGTCATAAATAATAAAAAAAAAAAAAAAACAGGAGGGTTGTTTTCTATCCCTTTTATTTTTGCATCCGGACACATCGCTTGTCGTATTGGTTTATTTCATTTAGTCCGGATACGTTCGTTTTTATTTGCCGTAAATTGTGCCAACAAAACGTTACCGCTATTTTTTCTACACTCTATGTATATATCAGATTTTATTACAGCAGAACCACCGAGTTATTTCTTTTTTTTTTTTCATGTTCATGTATCTGTTCTGTAACTGTGCGATTTACTCTTCTTTCGGCCTACGCGCACGCAATCGCATCACAGTTATTCTCTATTATCAACGTTTTTATTTTATCGCTTTTCCGAGTTACAAAAAAAAAAAAAAAAAATATGTAAATAGATTTCCATACAACTAAAACTCCGCGGATGTATATACACAAGGAAATCGGGTTTTTCGGAGTGAAAAAAAAGAATCGCAAAATAAAAGTCGGATTAAACCATTCATTTTTATTATTGTGCTCGCTTAATTTATAAACGAGCAGATATTCATTTTGACTTTTTTATTTTTATAGCTAAAGTGAAACAATGTCCTTGCTATTATAAGGATTTTTATTTACGTTGAACTAAACAATGTAAAGTAAAAAAGGTTTTATATAATTCATTTTCGGTCCTCTGCGTTGTCTTAATGAAAATGGTTACTATATCCGGTTTAGTTCTATTATAGTTTTACTTATTTCTAGAAGCTATCAATTCTAAGGACATAATGCTGATATAATTTTCTACTTGAAATTTTCACTTGACTTATTTATTTAGTAATGGATGAAAGTCTTAAGTAGTAAAAAATACTTCTTAGTCTTCACAATTTCCACGTTCGTTAGTTATTATATCAATATTGATGAGATATCAAGCTTGTTTTGTTATCCAACGTACACACATTAGATAACAAAACCAGGTACAACATGTCTACACAGACATGGATTCAGAGCACTTTGGAACATTATTCTATAGCAATAAACGGGAGAAAGAACCGAATAACCTAAATAACCTAAAACCAATTTCATGAGCTTATATATTATATAAATAAACTATTAAACGTGCGCAACGTTATTTTTTCCGCATCACGGACACTATTAAAACTGTTTTTGTTTGTTTTAAGCCGCCCCGAGGATGCCGACAAAAGAAACACAATATCGTGCCATCACCCACCAGAAGGCGTGATAGAGGTCTTCTTTTTTACTCATCCCCGTTTTCTATAGGACGTAAATCGTTTCTTTGATCTCCTTCAATGTAATATAATTTTTTTATCCCTGTTTTTAATTGATCTACATTCGGTATGTATTCAAACAATGTACAGAGAAAACCGTAAAAACAAATTACCTGTTAAGGGTTTTTGTTTATAATACACAATAACAAGAAAGTATTTATTATTGTGGGCCCACCTATTTATACTATTAGTTAGCGGGTAAACTATTATTTGTTGAAACTGTTTTCATCGCCATTATTTCACCGATAGGCCGTAGTTATTTTGCAGGTTTCGTTTGTGACCAGCACTGAGATACAATTCATAGTTTCGTTTGTTATTAAACGAGTTCAATTCAAAAGTGATTTAATTACTTTTTTTACGGGCTATATCGAGTATCGTTTTGTAAATAAACGCTTCGGCGGTGCATGACGGTGGAAGAAACCTACAACTGTACCTGTGACAATTATAATAATCATGTATAGACTCGTGTGAAAATATCGACTTAACATCCATGCGAACAGATAGATCATAAGATGTTAGTACGAGTGTGTGAGGATTTAGAGAATAACCAACTGCGCATCTTATACGCTCGGTATAATCGAAATGCGGTTTTGTGAGTTCTCTCGCGGGTATTAAATTTTATTGTACGCAAGCATTCTATAATTCCACAGATATCATAGAAACCATCTACATAAAAAATACCGTATATTATAATACTTATATTATCACTTCAATTGGTCTGCATTAACTGCGAGGGAATGAAATCGATAGCGCGACGTGAGACCTTAATATTCCACGCCAGGTCATAGATTTCCATATCATTGCAAGTAGGTTATTACAATTACAATCATTACTCCGCCGCACGATTCTTTTTGACTTAATTTACATCACGCGCCATTTCCAAATAACAATCATTTACTCGAGCTACATACACAGGGTGGCAATGGTATTAAATTTAAAATCATTTTTATAATATAAAACGTGACAGATTTTCTTATCTATTTCTGTTCGTCGTACCACACTCATGTTGGAACTCTGCAGAACAGACGAACTAAACAGTATTACATTCTATTGCCTTAAAGCTCTGCGCGGCCTTTATATACTGACGGCTTCTGACGTAATTTTGTAAATCATCGCACATTATAAGAATATGTATACAAACAAAATATTATAATGATATGACATTCAATTAATTTCCAACGCTATAGATCGGTGAATAATAAAACGCGCGGACAATAAGGTGCGCAATACTCAGATCGTTTTATACACGCATGTCCTTTCATCGAGATCAAAAGGATAACATGTTGATCTTTAGGCAGTAATTATTTGATAAACAATTATGGACCCTGCGGTGGCGATCTGATATAATGCATCTTGCGTGACTTGGCAAATTCAATTTTAGGGTAATGCATACGATTTTAATTTTACGGTTAACTATTAGTCGACAAATTATGAAATATGCTTTTAAACAATAACAATTTGGAAACCGTTTTTCTATTATCGTTATTCACGTGTGTAATATAAATGCTGCAGGGACAACGTTATTTTCAAGTAATTAATAACTTTAGAACAATGATTTTTATTTTATCGTTGATGAAAGACACACAATTGAACACAATGTAAAAAATTAACGAAACACGAGGGAACTTAAAAAAGGCATTTACCCTGCAGATGCAATAACTAATTTTCCTCTCTTAAAGTTCAGTCAACATGATTTTGATTATGTCTTGGATTTTAAAAACAAAACAAAAAACTAAGTCATGAGTTCAGTTAGAAAAATGTGTTAACTGTGAGAAATATTTGAAATTATTCGTTACTTTTAATTTTTTTTTTTATGAAATACTGCGATTAATAGTTTATGCTAATTCATTCAGTAGTTAGAGTTTACCATATACCTAATTTGCCAATGGCTGTACTAATTTGACCATAGCAAATATTAACGATATTTTCACTGGCTACTGACACATTAAAACTTTGTACATGCATAATGTACACATGACACTGTTGTAATTTACACAAAAAATAATTAAAAATAATGACTAAAATAATTTATTACTTCTTGAGGCAATAAACTATTCCATTATTGTTACATAATAAACAAGTACAGCACGCATTTGCATGTATTTCGATGATAAAAGCCGTTTATAATAATTGAAATAGTAAAATTCTTTACGCTTTTGTGTATTGCATAGGAAATTAATTGTTCGTAAAGAATTACATTGACTGACAGTTAATTTATAAATAATAATACTTTTTAAATTAATGGTTTAGTACCTAAATGTACCTAAACTTTTTAATGTTTAACAACGACAAAAATAAAAAGTTTTATCGTGATGGCAGAAAATGAATTAACAATCTGAACGGGGTGTTTATTTGTTATCATTTCAATGGACTAAACTATTGAAAATTAATAATCGTTGCTTGCGAGAAGTTAATTATGCCGTGAGAAAATTTGCAGCAGGTTTTATTATATTCGTTTGCAAAGCTTCACACAGCCATTTTCCCTGCACTTCCCGCTATAATTATTATTTTCATTTTTTTTTTTTTAACCCGTCCTATCCACTGAACTCGGTAGCAGCGACGGCATTTGACTTATTTTCATTATTGTTATTTCTTTGCCTGGGCTATTATTATTTAATACATATAGATATTATAATGTATTCTGTCATTGTTATTAACGAAATTATCCGGACGATTTGATAATAGACTTCGGGTGTGCACAACCAAGTTGCTCCGACAAACCACATTTAATGAACCCCAAGTTCATTGTTATTGTTGAGACCGTTGTCATCTAATCATCGTCTACTGGATCGGCAACGGTCACGGCGTCATCTATTGTATGCGGAATTATTAATGATCTATAACACACAACTCGTGGTAAACATTTATTTTGTGAACCCTAAAACGAAATCATACAATCGTTTTGAATGTGAAGAAAGATAGATATAAGTAGAAAGAGAGTACATAAGTGAATTTTAAGACTCTTAATTGCAAAAATAGTACCATGATTATCTTGATTTTGTTCACGGATGATGTATTCTTAGTTTAGAGAGAATTTTTTCTAATTAACTTAAAATTCATAACGTTACTAATTAATTTACATTTGTACTTATTTTCGTTGTGAGATAAATTGAAAATTAGGGCAAGATAGCCTTCTTGGAATTACAAATTATAATAATGTTTGAAAATAATCTAAATAAACAAACATGTTTTTTTTTTAATGGCATTTATATCATTTGCAAGAATGATATATTATTGTTTTATGGCATAAGATTTTAACATAGGTATGAATAAAATTGTTGTTATTTACTGCAATAAATAAAAAAAAAAATGTATAATATAAAATATATATTTAAAATTTTTAATCTGATTTAAATTAGGGAAGTATTTGGGAGGATTTTTAAATAAAAGTAAAATGAAGAAAATTATTTTTTTCGTTAGTTCTATATGAAATTTCTGTACATAAAATAATTTGCTTATCATTGACTTAGTTCAGTTACTGAAAAAAATAACTTATTAACTATCTTGAAGCACGCCTAAGGTGATCCTTGAAATTATTTTTTCTTTTAAATATTTTTACTTATCTTTTCCTTTTTCTTATTATTTTATAGATCAATTAAAAATTGTACAAAACATTCAAAATTCATAAAGAGAACAGGAAGCAGACATCTCTTAAATGGAGAATAATACATTTTTTAAAAACTACCAAATTTAAATTAATTTGCCTCATTAACAAAATTATCACATCACTACGTCTAGGGCAAGATGAA